TTTTTTTTTTTTCACGTGTTCTGCATTTTTTTTTCTTACCTCTTGATTGTCGTAGAGCTGTAACTAGTGTTTCATGGGCTTTCTATGATAGTGGGTCAGTGTTTTCCCCCTTTCCTTTTGACCTCCATTTACATTTTTTTGTATGAAGAATAATAAAATTCACATTTCTTATGACGCTATAAGTTTGAAAATCTGTAAATGTTCACTTATTTCTAGTTTTGAAAGAAATATTGCTCTTATTATAAAACTGCTTTATTTGGATAATTTTTAAACCTGATTAAATGAAACAACAAAAATCTTTATTTCTTGTCAAACAATATGTATATATATGTCAGCATTATGATTTTTTCTTCATAGAATAATGTCTTCAAATTTAAACAGGCTAATGTTGGTGAACTTCCAATCTGCAGAAATAATTAAGCAGTTGTAAAAGAGAATTATTGTTTATTATCTGAGAATTGTACTTAACCTTACTTTTGTATATTATTAATTTGACCTCAATAAATATGAAACATTACAGTAAGCTAGTAAAAGTTAAATACACACAGTAAAGTACATTTGATTTTAAGGTCCTGTTCGAAAGATGGAAGATCTCGTTATTATCGTTGTACAAAGTGTTGGTATCTGTATAAAACTAGGAGAGGTAACTGTGCTACAATGATTGTAAGAGATGGCCGAATTGTTACTGATCCAGAGAATCCAACTGTTCCCCATCAGTGTAGCTTTAGACCATTGGAAGCTGTAGCTGCAAATCGAGCTTGGATTGCTGGTAGAAAACGAAAATCGAACACCGGGGAAATACTGAAAGGGTCGTTGCAAAACGATGATAACTTTATTAAGTAAGTTAGTTTTTTTTCTCACGTCTGCAGAAACGATAGTTAAGATGAGTTTCAAAAGAATTACTGCTTTATACTGTTTTACTGTACATAGGTTTCATTACAACAGACCGTCACGGTTTACGCTTTGTAAAAATTTTGACATTATTTTGATGTTTTGATGTGTGAGTGTGTGCTGTCGA